GCCTGCTACTCTGTGCTATGCCCGTGCTTATCTTGCTCCTGGAGACCCGGTCCCTCTCGGGAGGGTAACAAGGGAAAGTGTTCAGTGCAGATGAGTGAGTAAGCACAAGCCTGCCCGTGCTTACCTCGCTCCCGGGGACTAAGCACAAGCCCGCCCGTGCTTACCTTGCTCCCGGAGACCCGATCCCTCTCAGGAGGGTAACAAGGGAAAGTGTTCAGTGCAGATCAGTGAGTAAGCACAAGCCCGCCCGTGCTCACCTTGCTCCCGGAGACCCGATCCCTCTCGGAAGGGTAACAAGGGAAAGTGTTCCAAGAAAAGCCATATATAATACTAATTTCACATACAAAGGTCAGAAGACTCCCAGTTTTCATCCTTACCTCCAGATTCTTGGTGTTATGATCATCAGAAATAATGCTTTCTTTAAGATTGTTGGGCCCATTTCCGTAGGAGGTAACAATCTGCCCTTTTGTGTCTAAGGTATGATCAAGACAACCCAGGAAAATGTCAAAGAATAATGGTGATTCAGTGAATAACTCTTTTCCTGTGAGTCACATCTCAGTCAGTCACCACAGAAATGTCATTAATCAGCAGCTGTGTAATCTTTTGGGTGGTTTTTGCCCTATTTTTTAGTTCACTGGGTAGCCAGATTGTCATTCCAATATTTATTTTCTAACTGTCTAAGGTTATGAGAGCATGATGTAGAACAATCATACAATTAAAGTTAATCTATCATTTTTAAAAATATCATGATGAATGCTCCCATGGATAAGTGCCACCTTAGTCACATTTCAGCGTGCATTCCAAAGGACACACTTTTTCTCTGTGCTTCCCTCTCTCCACAGGGAAGAATCAGTTGCTTCCTCATGGATGTCACATAATATGTAAACATACTTCTACCATAAATTACATTGTTTTTCTGATATTTATTGATACGACTTACCCTCAATGGGTGATTATCCTATGGAAAAGAGGGGTCCCTTAGGACCTGGCACAATGCCTGGTATGACCAAAAAAAAAAAAAAAAAAAACCCCACCAAACTCACTGCGTTGAGTTGAATCCGACCCATAGTGACCCCTCCTTGGGTTCTGAGGTGGTGTCTCTACGGAAGTAGATTGCCCAGTCTTCCTTCCGAGGAGTGGCTTGCACCCAATAAAGATTTATTGACATGCTATCAGCTATGCAACAAACTTGTATCAGTTGTTAATCTAGTAGCAATAGTTACTTAGGCAGGACCATACCTGCTTTTCCTAGAGTCTGCAAACCTTTGCTAAATTAAAAGAACAGTATGTATAACATATTAAGGACTCCTGGTGGCACAGTGGTTAAAGTGCTTGGCTGCTAATTGAAAGGTCAACAGCTTGAACCCACAAGCCATTCTGTGGGAGAGAGACGTGGCAATCTGCTCTGTAAAGATGACAGCCTTGGAAACCCTATGGGGCAGTTCCACTCTGTTCTATAGGGTCTCTATGAGTTGGAATCAATAGCAATGGATTTTTATTTAACATATTGCTCAAATAGTTGCGTATTTATTAGAACGAAGGTTTGTATCATTCTAATTTGAGTAGAAAAATGGCTGTTTATATAAGCTTACAATATCTCGATGGCACGTAATAACAACAACGACATATTCCCTAACTGTGAAAGCTATTTCAATTTTCCCTGCTTTATTTGTCTTCACAGCCTTTATCAATATGTAACATTCTTCTGTATCTAACATTTTGTTCTTATTCTTTGTCTGCCCTCACCAGGATATACGCTTCACGAGGGCAAGGATTTTTGTCTATTTTCTTCCCTGTTTTATCTATGCCTAGAAAAGTGCTTGGAATGTAGCAAGTGACAAATATTTGTTACACAAATGAATAAATAAATGAACAAATGAAATAAATTTAGGAATTCTGGTGATTTGGCTGATAGCTTATTATAATTTTTCTTGTGTCTGTGGGTGTAAGGATACCTAAAGAAAAAAAAAAGACATTATGTTGAAGGTAGTACAGTTCTAAATAATAGCACAACATAAGAAAAAGCTCAAGTAATCCATGTTCTGTCTCAGGAAAATAAAAGTAAGCTAGTATGTTTGACTAGGAGCTCTGGTAGCATAGTGGCTAAAGTACTTGCCTGCTAACCAGAAGGCTGGCGGTTCAAACCCACCAGCCACTCCTCGGAAGGAAGGTTGGGCAATCCTACTTCCGTAGTGATACTGCCTCGGAAACCCAAGGAGGGGTCGCTATGAGTCGGGGCCGACTCGACAGCACATAACAACAACAACAACAACAGTATGTTTGACTAGTTCAACTAGAAAGGAGGCAGTGCCATGTCATGGCATTCTGAATTCAGTATTTAGTTATTCAGTGCTGGGAGTGAGGGGACCTGTGCCCAAAATAGCTGTCCTAGCTACCTGGACCTCCAGGAAGGAGAGCAAATGGTCCTAAGCTTACAAGGAGGGCTGCTAATGCTAAGAGAAAGGGAGAGGACTCTCTCTACCAACGTTGAGGGCTGTAGGGGGGCATAGTGAACAATGAGGTATTATCGTGGGAGGTGGGGCCAGCAACTTATGGCCTTTTCTTTAAAAATGAAATTTTACTGTGTTTTTGGTGAAGGTTCACACAGCAGTTTTAGGTTGCTACTCAACAGTTTCTGCACAAGTTGTTCACTCACATGGGTTACATTCTTCACAATGCATGCACAGTCTCATTATTTCCATTCTGGTTGGTCTGTTTCCATTAATCTAGTTTCCCTGCCCCTTGACATTCTGATCTTAGTTTTAAAGTAATTGTTTGGTTTTCTTAAAAACATTTCACTGTGCTTTAGATGAACGTTAAACAGCAAATTAGTTTCCCAGTCAGCAGTTCATACACAAATTGTTCTGTGACATCGGTTGCAATGCCCCGTGATGTGTCAGCACTCTCCCTGTTTCCCCCCTGGGTTCTCCATTTCCATTCATCCAGTTTCCCTGTCCCTCCCTGTCTGCTCATCTTTGGTCTTGGGCAGATGTTGCCCATTGGTCTTGTATAGTTGCTTGTTCTCAGAAGCATGTTCTTCATGTTGTTTGTTTTATAGTCCCATCTGGAAGGTGGTCTCTGGGAATGTCTTCATTTTCAAGTTAGACAGTTTTCTCAGGACAATAAACTCAGAAGTTCCTCTAGTCTCTTTCTGACCAGTAAGTCTGGTCTTTATTTTCACTTTGGATTTTGTACTACTTTTTTTTTTTTAACCCATTCTGTCCAGGACTTTCTATTGTGGTTTTTGTCAGAGTGGTCAGTCATGGTAGCAGGACTCTACGGAATTCTTCTGGTAAAGTAATTGTTGGCTGATTGATCTCATATAGGTGATTTTTTCAAAGGAGCACAGTACTTACAGGTCATATTTGTAATTTTCTGAGCCAGTTTGTTACTTAGCTACCAGATGACCTCAGGGGTTAATTTCTGTTCAAGGTTTGAAGAGTATCAGTCTCAACTAGTTCAGTTGGTCTGCTTTTTTTTTTTTTTTT